AGAAGCCTGAAAAGTCATGAAAAGTTTGCATGAAAGGAAAACAACCACGATTGCCATTTGCGTCAGAAGCTGCTCAAAGAGCAAAACATGCCTTGGGAGTTGTACATTCTGATGTGTGTGGCCCATTTCCAGTAGCATCAATTGGAGGGAATAAATACTTTGTGTTGTTTGTTGATGAATTCACAAGAATGACACGGGTATCCCTTATTAAGTTTAAACATGAGGTGTTTGATGAATTCAAGAAGTTCAGAATGAAGGCTGAGAATCAGAGTGGTCAGAAGTTGAAGATTCTTAGAACTGATGGTGGAGGTGAGTATAACTCCAAAGAGTTCCAGAATTTCTGTGAGGAGAATGGAATTGAGCATGAGGTTATCGCTCCTTATACCCCTCCACACAATGGTCTTGCTGAAAGAAGAAACCGCACTTTGCTTGATATGGTGAGAAGCATGCTAAAGAAGAAGAAGCTTCCTCAGAAGCTACGGGGAGAAGTTGTTGCCACTGCAACGTATGTACTCAACAGATGTCCTACGAAGAATTTGAAGGAAATAGTTCCAATATAAAAGTGGGCTGGAGATAAGCAAAGTGTTAGTCATCTGAAGGTGTTTGGTTCTGTTTGCTATAAACATGTTACAGAAGCCAGAAGACAGAAGTTGGATGATAGAAGCAAAGTGATGATTCTGATAGGGTACCACAGTACAGGTGCATACAATCTCTATTGTCCAGAAACCAATAAAATTGAATTCAGCAGAGATGTGATTGTGAAGGAATCAGAAGTTTAGAATTGGGATAAGTCTCAATCTGATTCTGATGTTAGAACTTCTGAAGAAAGGTCAGAGTTAAGAATTTCTGAAGTTGGAGTAAACTCTAACGTTGACTCTGACTCTGATAGTGATTCAGACTCTGGAGAAGACTCAGAAGATGAAGGTGACTCTGATGATCCAGACTCTGATGGCAATCCAGATTTTGGTTGCAATTCAGACTCTAGAAATATGCCAGACTCTGAAGATGGTCAAAGCTCTGGAGGAAGTCAATCATCTGAAGCTAGAAACTCTGAAGCTCAAGACTCTGAACAAGTTCAGAGACCACAAAGAATAAGAAACGTCCCCAGAAGATATGCAGAATTTGACATGCTGCAAGACACTGAAGTAGACTCTGAAGGAGAAGTTATTCAGTGTGCCATGATAGTAGACTCTGGACCCATAAGTACAAAAGAGGCTCTTAAGCAGAAGCTCTGGCTGAAGGCCATGAAAGAAGAACTTGATGCTATAGAGAGAAACAAGACTTGGAAGCTGACAGAACTTCCAAAAGACAAGAAAGCCATCAGTGTCAGATGGGTTTTCAAGCAGAAGTTAAAGCCAAATGGTTCAATTGGCAAACATAAAGCAAGGCTGGTATCCAGAGGATTTCTACAGAAACTTGGGCTGGATTATTCTGAAGTGTTTGCACCTGTAGCAAGACATGAAACAATCAGAATGGTGATTGCAATAGCTGCTAACAGGAATTGGCCTCTGATGCATTTAGATGTAAAATATGCATTTCTGAACGGTCCATTAGAAGAAGAAGTTTACGTGTCACAACCTCCTGGATTTGTGAAAAAGAATCAGGAAGGGATGGTGTACAGATTATACAAAGCTCTATATGGACTGAAACAAGCGCCCAGAGCTTGGAATCAGAAGATTGATTCATTTTCAAGGAGCAAGGCTTTCAGAAATGTGAGATGGAGTATGGTGTTTATGTTCAGCATACTTCTGAAGGCAATATGACTCTAGTATGTTTATATGTTGATGACATACTGCTGACTGGAAGTTCTGAACAGGAGATAGCCAAGTTCAAGAAAGTTCTGATGAATGAATTTGAAATGACTGATCTAGGCAAAATGACATACTTTCTAGGGATATAGTTCAGATATTCTGAGAAAGGTATCATTTTGCATCAGCTCAAGTATGAATTAGAACTTCTTAAGAGATTTGAACTGAAGAATTGTAAGATTGCTGTCACACCTTCTGATACAAATCAGAAACAAGATTCTGACTCTGATGGAAAGGATGTGGACGCTACAACCTTCAAACAGTTGGTTGGTTCTCTGAGGTATCTGTGCAATACCAGACCTGATATTTGCTATTTTGTTGGGATGGTTAGTAGGTTCATGAGTAAACCTAAGTGGTACCATTACCAAGCTGCTGTCAAGATTCTGAGGTATATCAAGGGAACTCTGAAGTATGGAGTGTTATTTCCTTCTGGAAGAAAGAATGAGTCAGAACTTCTGAGTTATTCAGGTTCTGATTGGTGTGGAGACAGAGTTGACAAAAGAAGTACCTCTGCGTACTTGTTCAAATTTCTGGGAGGTCCCATTTCTTGGTGTTCCAAGAAGCAACCTGTTGTGGCGTTATCAACCTGTGAAGCTGAATACATTGCAGGTGCTGTTACTGCATGCCAAGCTGTGTGGATTCTGAATCTGTTGCATGATCTGAAGATTAAAATAAACAAACCTCTGAAGCTTATACAACAAGTCTGCAATCAATCTTGCCAGAAACCTAGTGTTGCATGGGAGAAGCAAGCATATTGAGACAAAGTATCATTTTCTGAGACATCAAGTTCAGAGTGGAGTGTTAGAAGTTGTACACTGCAGCACTCAGAAACAGTTGGCAGATGTTCTGACGAAAGCTATCAAGACTGATCAATTTCTCAGACTAAGGATGAAATTGGTGTTACAAATTTTGATGGAATATGAATTAAGGGATGGTATTAGAAGTAATTCATATTTATTAGTTGTACTATTTTCTTAGCCCCTAAGTTTGTTAGAGGGTATTTTAGTATTTTTATCTTATTCTAGTAACCCTAGTTTTAGCTTATAAATAGGGTAGCAATCATTCTAATTTTGTAGTAGTGTGCAGCCGTCATTCTCTTAATAGAATATTTCTCTATTCATCATTTATTCTACCTTTGCACCAACAATTGGGACATAAAGTTTGCAGTAATGCAATGATGATAAAAAAAGTTGACAGGTTTTGTGAAACTATGTGTTAAGCTAAGAGATAGAGCATTTATTATTCAAGGGTCAATGTTGTTGTAGTATTGTTTTTAAATATTACTTTATGTTCTCAAGGGGGATAGCCATTTAAAGGAAAATAAGTTTGACATGATGTATATTACTTTTAATGTAGATAAAGCTTAGTAACCAATACAACAATACAGAATTGCGCAAATCTCTATTAACTATAGAGCTGATACTTATTAGATTCTTTCAAAATAGTTTCGTCCCATTTTTAAACTTTGACCACAACATATATTACATAACATAGTTTCATATTTAACTATATCATTGATATTGATTAATTTTTTCCATAACTTTATTCATCCCATTTGTGGATTGAGCCACAACATATATTAGATAACAAGTGCACTTGTGATATCACCTGGAGAAAGATCATGAAAATCTACCACAAAACTAATATAGACTTATTGATTCCAAAATAGTTTTAATACAATAGATAAAGCTACTGCCATAGTTATAATAAATATCCAAAATATCATCAATCATTATAAGTGGTAAGGTCATACAATGACCAAAATATAGATATCAAACACAACACAATATTATACATGGTAATTGTCATAACAAATATCCTTGGTAGTTCTGTTGATCCAATTCCCAAACAAAAAGCCTTTGTTGCTTGACATCAGTAGATTTAAACCAATGCTTTTTTCCGCGCTTGATAAGTTTCTTCACTTTAGTTGATGAAAGGTCCCCATCATTAAGAGTTTTGTTGGAAGAATCAATAAAAACATCGGGAGGCATCCTCTTCACATTAGTCGCAGGGGTGGCCGGATCGGGAACGTGTGCAGAAGTTATTTCACCATCCTACACGTTGCCAGTTAAGAACAATTAGAAAAGATGACGTGTTGTTAGGCAAAACCGATTAACTTAAGATTATTCAAAGTGTACGCATACCGTGTTTGGATTCAACTTTTCAAATGGTGCATCCTCGTCGACACTCTCCATGACCTGGTGCAAAAGAAACAAATAAGTGGGTAATGCTGATCAATATTACAAAATGAGGTCTCAATAGTTTTGTTTTGATTAATGATTGAATGTAATATTTGGATAGAAGATGTAAACATAGGAGATTAAAAAACCTAGGTGGAATGAGAAGAGGTAACAATGACAGATGGTGGCTGAAAGGTACAAACAACATTAGCAATTGCAGCATAACCTGGATGGATTGAATTTGTAAGAACAGAAGAACCAGAGTTTTTACCTGATCGGTTCCAAGTGATCCCTCAAGTTGTTTAATCAGTTGTTCATCATTAAGAAACTGGACGACGGAGCAACTCTTCCACCTGGGACACCATTTAACCTTGAAAAGATACTTCAAGCCCAACATTGCATCCAAGGCCAGCGGAAATTCCAGGGGGTCCGTGAATCCAGCCTACATTGAAAATGGAAAATGTTAGCGGGATTAATAATGTGAACACCACATTAACATGCTAAAATGGGTTATTAATGGACGCAATTTAGGGCAGCCTATGCAAACCTCCATCATGGTTGCACGTAGCTGGCCAGCAGATGTCTTCAAAAGCTCGGTGGCTTCCCGGTCCCAAAACATGAAGTTCCCACAACAACCATTATATTTGACTTCAATCACAATTTTTACCTACAAATTATTAAACCATCAGAGACAAATAAAATGTATAACAATGATAAAAACTATATAACGAACAAATGGCACGTGCACCTCCAGATCTCAGCTTCGATTTGGTGTCCATCCCTGCAAAAAAAAAGGTGGTTTGTCACCCTTAGAAACATCTGGACTTTGATGGTATGCTCTGTAGTGCCAACCGTTAGGCGATGCAATGAGCTTGTCGGTGGTTGCAACAATAACCAAAAAGTTGTCTGCAAACCATGATTTCAACAACGCTATGCTAACATCCAGATTTTGTAACATAAACCAACAAATACAATATCACTTTGGAATTACCTTAGTTAATGTGATGATATCCTATAATGGTAGGTGGATAGCTTTGGCCATAAACTTCTCGGTCAGAGATAGGTTAGAAGCGAAAGATTGTTGTGACCAAGAACGGTTTTGAGTGCCAGATGTTGAAGATCTTCCAAATTTGAAGTCCACAGGTAACCTGTATTTGGCACAAAGTCGTAACACATCAAAAATCATTTCTCAGTTCATAAACGTTAAAAAGTGAAGAAATGTTGAAATTAACAGGGAGTGACCTTTTCAAAAAATCTTGGATGTCTCGCATATCTTCATTGATATGAATTTTGGTAATGTTGTAGGTGTTTGTAACAGCGAGCAGATATTTGCCTACAAAATACATATAAGAAAGTGACCATCATTTATAAAAATAATAGATGTTAAAATCGCTAAGTAGACCATTCAGAATGTTTCCAATGTCTTCACTAAAGGTGTGAAAAATACACAAGAAAGGGGGGTTTGAATTGGGTATTTCCTCTACTGAAACTTTTAAACTTTTTATTTTAAGTTGCTTTCTATAGTATTCTTTTCTTTGCGTTGCGGAAGCATATAAATCATGATATAAGTAAAGAACATAAGATATATCCTGGTTCACTTGAGCAACCCTCAAGCAAATCCAGTCCACCCTTCCAAGGTGATTTCGCCTCACTCACGCAAGGACTTAATCCACTATAACCAAATTGATTACAAATATGCACAAGCTAACTGCAGGTGACTAACAAATGGACAATGGCACGTTCAGGGATCCCTTAATGATATAACGTTCATTGATCCCACAAATGACAACTGTCACTTGTCATCTCAAGTATACTGATCTTCACAAGATCACTTGAGGAACCACTAATTCTAAAAATAGAATTTATGTTGTAGGAGATTACATGAGTGCTTCTTGATAAGCAGGTTACTCCTAATTTAGTACAGAGCAAGTATTGAGCAACAGCTCATTGCATTCTAATATAGAAACTAATTTAAGGATGAATCTCAAGAGATTATTAAGAACAGTAGTTTCCATATTGCTTAAAAGCTTTCATATGTGAGCATTGCGGCTTCTTAGCGTAAAAGCTTTCCTTTGGTTATGCATACTGATGATAGCAAAACAGCAGCAACAACATCAACTGCAACCACGACAGCGTCCACACTTGAATGACTCAAATGTTCTTCTTTTATAGCGTATCCAAGAAGTACGTTGAGAGGACACAGATGTCCATTCAAATATTTCAACTGTCATATCTCCAACGGATAGAATGGTCACGTGTTGGAAAGTACAGTGACATCACTTTCTTGTCTTTTGTACAGATCAGCTTCTGGCTTAACTTCTTCTGATGATGTATCTGATGAGTAGTTCAGAAACTACTTTGGTATGATAGTGTAATAACATCAGAGTCTTACTTCAGAACTTGTTTACCAGAGTTTATTAACACGTCTTCATCTGGGTGTTACTACATAGTCTTCAACTTCAGAATCTAGTCTTCAGAGTCTTTCTGCACTTGGTCTTCAGATCCTTCAGAACTTCAAGTCATCAGATTCTTCAGAACGTAATTCTTCAGAAGATTATTTCTACAGAGTCTTGATCTTCAGAACCCTTAAGTCTTCAGAGTCTTTCTGTCTTCAGAACTTCAAGACATCAGTATCTTCAGAGCTTCAAGACATCAGAGTCTTCAGAGCTTGGTTCTTCAGAGGACTACATCTCAGATGCATTGATATCTTCCAGATCAAATACACTTCTCAAAACAGAATCCACAAGAGCATTGCAACAACAATATACAACATCTTTGGATCTTTCTGATTATGATCAGATACAGTGGCAAATTGTTTCTTAAGTAGGCACTTTAAATTCTTTATCCAGAATATCACGTGGTACTTCACTCAGAGTTTCACTTTGTTCTTCATTCAGAGTTTCCTTGAAAGCTATGCTTTAAGTCACGTCATACAAAGTAACTTCATATAGGCTTTCATGCACTTCTTGATATTGTTTGTTGATTTGATATATTTATCTAATGATCTGCGCACAACAACCATTAGAACATAAAATGGTTCTTTCATAAATACTTAATTGTTATCATCAAAACATAGAGATATCATGTAGAGACAATTCTTGCTCTTACAATCTCCCCCTTTTTGATGATGACAAAAAACATGTATTTTGATAGAATATTTTATATAGAGAAATCACCAAGAATTAACATATTCAGAATTTCAAGCAACAGCTCCCCCTGATTGTGTTAATCTTAAAAAATATTTTTATGCTTTTTCAGAGACTTTCCCTGATCCTAAGACTCAAAAAAAAATTTAGATAACAGAATAAAATAAATAGAAGGGAAGGAATACTTCACTACAATATAAGAGAACATAAGTCTTTTAGTATCTAGACTAGTTCAACAGAACTTCCATCTTCAGATCTTTAGAACTTGTTTTCTCCAAACATCGTATCAGAGTCGTATATCTTCAGAATCTTCTAAAGTATTTGATGCTGTTTATCAGAAATTCTGTAGTATATAGATAAAACTCTTCTTTCTAAATAAATTAGCCACGCTATTTATCAGAAGAAAAATTAATCTTTTAGATTAGAAACTTCCTCTGAGTTTCAGACTGGGTGAAAAACAAATATTTTGTCTTGTGAACCTTTCTGGGAGAACTCCCCCTGGCTTCAATAGATCAGATATTATTAATTTAGATCCTCGGTTCAATCTTCAGACTAGCTTTCAGATCCTTGATTCTATCAGAGCTCAATAATATTAATCAGATTTGGTTCTGAGTCTGATACTAATCCTTGATTCTGATTCTGATGCTAATTCTTGCTCTCATGAAGATTTATGATTCTTATGCTCTGATTATCATATTCACAGTCAGTTTACACTGTCTGAACATTAGTTCCAGATGACTTTAACTTTCAGATGGTATTTCAACCTCTTGAACAGTATTGGGTACATCTGATTCTAAACATATGTTTATGAAGCGTATAACTTCTATTATATGAACAGCCAATCATTCTAATTCAGAGTTCATTCATATGACCTGTCTTTAGAATGCCTAGTGAACTTGTTCAGAGTTCCTCAGTAAAACATCAAACAAATAGTTAGTAATAAACACAGTTTATATCAGAGCTGATGTTTTGTTTCCTTATTAGATTATATCAATCATAATCATATTTCCAGATTATATCATACTTAAGTTTCTATCAAAACAGCTCTATTTCTCCCCCTTTTTTTGACATCATCAAAAAGGTGATAATCAGTTAAAAAGAAATAACAGAGAAAGGAAAAACACAAAAAGAACCACTTCATTCATAAAGATATTCAGGTTAACAAACAGAAGAACAATAGAAACATCAAACATGTGCACAAACAAAAAACAGAAATGAAGACTAAGGCTGGCGAGAGGCTATGCTCTTCAGAAGATCTGTGATCTGAGCAGTTGATTGTTCTTGCCTAGCCATCCAAGTCTTGATTTCATGAGTAGTTTGTTCTTGTTTCACCATCCATGTCTTGATTTCATCTTCAAGATCTGGTCTCTCAGTCTTGATCTCAGACGCAGAAGGAGCAGATAAAGATGTTGTTGGATGATCAATGTCCATTGCAAATGTAGCTTGAAAACCAGAAGAAGATGATTGATCTACAATTATCAAATCGGACTGATTAGGCTCCACAGCTGCTTCTGAAAGATCATTTTTAGGCATTGGTTCCACAGTAGGTGCAGAACTTGGAGGGATGACTTCTACAGATGGTGCAGCCAAAGTTCCAGAAGAAGACAATTCAACTTCTGACGGAGCATTTTCCAAAAACAAAGTAGGAGATCTTCTGATGTTAAGCAGAGTCATTCTTACAGCTTCAGAAAATATCTTCTGAGCTTCTTCAGCATAAATCTCTTGAAGATTCGTAGAAACAAAATTAAATCTGGCTTTGAATCTTTTCCAGACAGCATCAGAATCATCAGGATTCAGAATGGACACACAATCCTTCTGTACAGTGGAGAACCACGTACTTACCTCTTTCTCAAAACAAGATACAAGATAACTAACATCCATCCTCGGTTTGGGTTTAAGGAAGGTTTCCAAAGATGATGGTTTGGATGAGGTGGTTTTGGAGGAAGGTGAGGGAATAGAGAATTTGAGAATGATAAAGATAGGATGTCGTGGAGAAGATGAAAAGGGAACAGAAGATGGTTGAGAATGACTGGGAGGTGAGGGTTTATCTGAGTTAAGGTGAAGGTTTAAGGATTGAATAAAAGAGTCAACATCAGATTCAGAAGATGAATCTGCTGTGTCACAATCTCCAGAGGATACAGGATAAATAATCTTAAGAGGTTGGAGATCCATGAAATCAGGTTTAGGATCAGAATAATGTTGGTGATCTGGTGAGAGTGGATGTTCTGGCTGATAGGGTAAAGGTTTTTCTGGTAGAATAACTGGTGGTGTTAGTGGAGCAGAGTTTGTGGGTGCAAAGGTTTGTTTGTCAGATGGATTTGCTTGTTGGGGTACAGAAGATGGTTGAGACTGTGTTGGTTCAGATGAAATATGTTCAGATGAAAGAGAAGGTGAAGATGGAGTTGAAGGTGTAGGTTCAGATGTTGGAGGATTAGATGTTAGTACTTGTTTAACAGTTTCCAGAATGGTGTCCAGACTTGCTTTAGTAGGATTAGCTTTCTGCTTCTTGATCCTCTGAGGTTTGACAACAGCTTCGCCAGAGGCTTTCCTCTTTGACTTTGGAGTACCTTCTTCAGATACCTTTCTCTTCTTCTTGCGTCTAGCTTCAAAAAGATCTGGTAGAGGTTCACCTTCTTTCTGAACTAGATTTGCAGGAAGTGGAGTTCCATCTACCAGACATTTTGCTATATACGCCAGAATGACTTATCTAGGTTCATCAGCAGAGAACAGAGGAAAATCATCAACTGGAATTCTCCTTTTACAAACATCAGCAGATTTTCTCTTGGATGGGGCAGATGCCAATTTCTCAATCAATTTCATATTGACTAGGTTTTTACCATTCATAGGGCTTCCATGAATAGCCTCTAACTCTGTTGTTTGTCCTGCTTTTGTTAAATGTGCAACTAGACCATTCTCAGTCAGAATGTCTGAGATTAGTCTCCCCATAGGAATCCAGTTTTTGAGCTTCTGAATTTTAGACCTTAAAACTTCTCTGGTTTGCTTGATCTGATTCCACAGATGATTAAACAAAACATAAGGTAAGTCCACCTTGGTTCCTTTTCTAAGACAGTACATGAAATAGCACTGATCAGCATTCACATAATCTGGTGAGTTGGATGCTTTCCTATGATGGATGCAACTTAGGAAAATCTTGGCCCTGATTTTGTAAACGGTCTTCAAATTCTTCATCTGGCTAGATG